CACAAAAAGAAAATTTAAAGGTTGCATTGAAATTAATCTTATAATTATACTAGAAAAACACTGTATTTTCATATAACGTGAAACTAAAATTGTACGTATGTACGTATATAATTTATGTAACACAATCCTACCTGTTACAATAGATTATCATTATATTTTTGTATTTGGTGGAATTAAAATGTTGCACCATGTAGTACATACGTATGTACGTTAATTTCCTATTTCTTGACCAAGAATTAGTTTTACAGAAAGTCATGGCAAACATTATAGTAGAATGGCTTGAAAAAGCTATTTCTGATAGACATATTAATTATCTTGAATATAATAAATTTACTAACCCGACATTGATTGGTATTGGAGATTTTGGAAAGGGTTTTAAATATGAGTAAAAGAATGTGAATTAATAGTTGCTTTCAAATATCTTAAAGTTGATAACGATTTAAGTTTAGATGAAAAAATTATTAAAGATTTTGTTAATGAGGTATTTATTAACTTATGACTTGAATTACTTTTTAACATAATATTAAATTTCTACAATGTGTAATAAAGCTTAAGCTATTGCGAAGAGTTCTAATATTATTAAATTCTATGGGGTCGCAAAAGGTATACATACAGTTTATTATTTCTAATACAAAGTAATAATATTTTTAAATTATACAATAGCTAATAATGTTAATTATAAATAAATAAACAATAATGGATATTATAATCTGGAACTAGAAAATGGAATCTGCAATTTTATTGTTTAATTTTATTATAAATATATACATAATTTCATTGAAAATTTTGGAATAGAATTGTTGCAATAAAAATAAAGAAAATTTCTTTCAAATAAAAATTGATAAAATATGAATGATTTAATTTGAATAATAATAAATAAATAAATAAATAAAAATTGGCTAAATAATAGCTTAAAACTAGTGCTTAATATTGAATAACTCAAGAGAGAATTGTTATGGAAAATTTCATCAGCAATCCTGACAAACGAAAAAATTTCATGAACTTATCAAAGACTATCAGCTCTTGTCATCTTGAACCAAAGAATTTTCATTATTGAAAAATCGATCAAAGCTTTGTCATCTAAACCAGTCTTGAGCCACAAATATTTGGCTTTTACTATAAATAACCCATTTAGCAAATCATTTAAAACAAAATGCCATGCGAAACATTCTAAAGAAAAGAACATTACTACTTATAATAAATTAAAAGTAAATGCTTTAAAAAAAAAACCACTTATCGATTGTGATTTTAGCTATAAACCTCTATGCTGGATAAATGATTAGCTCGTTTGACTTTCCATTAGATCTTAACCATTTTGCTCTTTAACAAAAGGGCAGGGATAAAGATAAGTGCATGTCCCTCAAGTTAAACAAAGCCAAATAGCGTTAAGCCAATTACTTAACCAATTTGATTTAAAAATACGGATTTAGTCATTAATTTTGAGGACTAAAATAAAAAGTTGTTTTAATAATTTAAGCACGAACACCACCAATACAATGAACATCTCCAAGTAAATAAAAATTATCAAATTTTTTAATTCTTTTAGAAAATCACGAATGTCGACATATAATTTTGTGTTTTTGTCAGACAAATAATTTTCTAATTGACGACAATCTTCACTTAGAGATTTGATATTTTTTTCTAAATGACGAATATCTTCATAAATATTTTCAAACATAGATTTAATATTTTTTTTTGAATTTTGAATTTCTTCTTCTGAATGACAAACATCTTCAAGTTCCGATTCGTAATCTTTCATGAAATCAATCATTCTAGAAGTGGTTCTATAAAATAAACCAAATGTGTCATTCATATTTGTAGTTCGTAAGAAATATGAATCGATATTTTCTATAGCCGAAGAATAATTTTGTTTTAATACATGATTCCTAATTGGAGTTTTATAATCTTCAGAATTGAGGGTCGATGTTGTTTGTATAGAATATAAATAGTTGGAATATTCAATTTCGATATCTGAAGCAGAGTAACCACAGAAATGCAAACCTATTTAGGAGATGGCACTTTATAAAATTGATTACAATGAATAGAGAGTGAACTTTCTATTATTTTGATAACTTCAAAATCGAGAGATTGAGATAAGGTATTAACTGTTCTTATTTTATAATTAGAATTTATTTTCAGTGCGGTAATTGTATTAAATTGATCAGATGCGAATCGGTTTGAACTTTCATTTATATTTTCTGATTTAAATTTATCATGGTGATTAAATAATGATTTATTGATTTTGTGCTTTATAGAATTAAATTTGAACATCAAATATAATAATAGAATTTTTTTCATTGTTGATGCAACGAAATGGAATCTTGCCCTTCTGAAAAATGTCCTGAATACAATGGTGGATGTAATATCAGAACAGGAAAAGTATATGATATAAAATAAGAGCATTAAGAATATTGTGAAGTAAAAAGGTTTTTTCATGATTTTTAAATTTAAATTAGCTAAAACTTTTTTTAGATAAAAATGAAGAAATCTTAGTATTGAAGTAAGAAAGAGGTATTAATTTAGAATTAAAAAAGATTTTGTTTCTATAGAATGCCGATAAATAAAGTTTGAAGATATTCTTAACGAAAATAAAATTTTGTTCCAATGAATGTCTACTATCATCTGTGTTTTTATAAAAATCTCCATTTGTGGGTCGACTTTTATCTGAGCAAGTGGATTCAGATTTGTTAATAGTTCTTTTAAATAATATGGAAAACCCGACAATGAGACCAGGGAACAACAAGAAAGATGGAATCGGAATCATATTCAATATTAGAATCGAAGATGCGAAAATCAAAGAGCAATAATCAAAGAAGTCAATAATATTAGAGTCAGGAAAATTGTAAAAGCAATTTTCAACAAAATCAACAATAGAAAAATAAAATAAGTAGCAATTCTTAGCAATAATGCTAAGGGCTTTAAAATGTTTTTACTTGGTATTTTGTAATTGTAATTTATTCAATTCTGAAAACTAGATTTTATATGATTCTTTTAATACATTTTTCGTAAATAAACTTGTTCAAATTAGGAAATAATTAAAACAATTTTGTTTTAATTTATGCTATTTATCTTTGCCGCGGTTATTTGTATTACCTATTTTACAAAGCATGTTTTTCACGACGTACAGATTGCTGATCTGTTATAATTAAACGCACGTTAAAACATATTAGATGTAATTCTTTCCAAATTGCAAAAGCAGTTCGATAATTGATTCAAACCTAATAATATTTGACCTAAAAATTATTTATGTTGCCTTTGCACTGTTATTCATATTACATTATTTTACAAAGCATCAAATAAAACTCCGAGTTATGTATAATACTGCATTTTAGGATAAAGAATATATATTGTTGATTCGTACTTGTTAAAATATACTGATATAAACCCAAGTGTATGTTCTCAAAAAGCTTTGTTTTATTGTAATGAACTTGTTCAAATAAAGGAAATAAAGAGATAATTAATTCACATTTTATATTGAAACTTATGATTTCTATAATAAAGTTTATATATTTATAATATAAATGCAGATCTGTTACTCAATTGATGCGATAAAAATATATAAAGCATAATTTTATTGTTAATTAATGATAATTGAAATGACAGTACAAAAGAAATTTACAGCGAAATTTTTTACTTGCCAAAATATTCTTATTTTGTTATTAATTATTCAGGTTATAATAATTTTAATAATCTGGTCATATATATATTTTTGGTTTTCTCCTGCCTGTTTCATAGAAGTTCGAACTGATTTTTATCTATTTTTATAGTATCAATAAGTGAAAACATTCGAATTATTCATATTTGTATACCGAACCTTATGAACCAATTGTGCATGGAGCTTTTGGCAATCAACCTGTACTTTTGTATATGCCTCAAATGGTTGCAATAGAAATTATAAAGGATATAAAGGTTTTTTTGCTGAAATAATGGCTGGAGGTCGTGGGTTCAGACTAGGGTTGTAAAATTACTGTAATTTTGTATAATTTTACGTAATTTAGTGTAAGCTTCCGAAACCAAAATTTCATGTAATTTTGATATCATATGAATAATGTAGCCAAAATTTCATTATACCTGGTATACTTTTGAATATAAAATTATAGTTCTGAATGTAGTGATAAATCTCTAATAATACTGGCAAAACTTTTATAATGTTGGTACAATAATCATGTGCTAATCCATTATCAAATGTAATATTACATTACAATTTTGTAAGTTATGGTGTAATTTATTTGTAACGTAAATGTAATTTATGCAATTTTCAACCCTAGTTTGGACATCTAGATAATGATGGGTTAGTGTCATATTAAATGGTTTCAATTTATTCAAATTGGATCGGTTTTCTTGTGAATAGAATTTATGGCAATGAATAATTTGAACATCTGATATTTTGTAAATTGGCTTTTAATTTATAAAGCTAATATTAATGTAAAGTTAAATTTGTATTTATTATATAACGTTAAATTTTTATAATTCCGGCCAATATTTGATAATCTTGGTCAAATTTTTATATTAAAACTTAGTTTTATGACATTTATTTAGTTTGAAAATCTTTACAATTTGGTCATAATCAATGCAGAATAAGTTTCACAACATAATCATTATACGTATATTCTGTATTTCAGATTAAAATTCAAAGATCTGCAGAAATTTCTCATTTACTCCTAAATTTATAAATTTATTTAAAAAATTTGATTGAAATTAAGCTTTAATTCATTCCTTTAAAGTAAGTATTTCAAAATGAATTTGATTTGATTCATTATTTACAAGACTAAAAAATTCTTTCAATTTTTAAGTATGAGTGACAGTGACACAAACTTGGATGTGAAAAAAGATGGCTCAAAGACACAGAGAAAAAGTAATAAAGAATACATAGAGGCTCAATTACAAGCTTATATTTCAAGACTAAAATCGGATAAGATTCCAATTAACATTGGCATCGAACAACCAAATTCAGCAGATTATAAACAATGGTCGGCTTATATTAAAGAAGTAAAAAAATTTTCAGAGGAAATGAAGCGTAATGCTGAATGGACTTTTGTAGGTATCTTAATTAGTCAAACGTACAAGATTATGCAAATATTGAAAAATAAGAAATTTAGAGATGATGACAAGTGTAAAAAGGATTTAATGAAAATTCTAACAAATTCAATCCCGGACAACACATCTGCTACTCAAGCTAGTTGATGCAAATAGGTTTATGATCATATTACTGATTTAATATTGAAATTAGAGAATCAAAAAATTCTGATAGAGACTTGGTATCCTTTATTAAACAAAGCTGGTGTTATCTACCACTTTCTACATGATTCAAATTTCATAAGGAAAAAAAAGTTTAATCTTTATGAAGAGTTCATTAATCTATTGGTTTCCGAATATAAAAATAGTCTAACTAAGGCTGCACAATCTTAATGTTTTGGTTTGCATAGCACGAAACTTTAAATTAAACCCTTTGGTTTTTTTAAAAAAAAATTTATTTGAACTCTATGAAAACTAATTTTACATTGACTAGATAAGTTTCAAGGTTCAAAATTTTAATTTAAGTTAATTATATGTTCTAAACCAATTAATCAATTTTGCATTGACAAAATAAGTTTCAAGTTTTAAATTTTTAATTTAAATTAATCATATGTTATTATTTCTTAGTTTCGAAGAGTATCTTTAGATATTATTTTAATCTAAAATATCTTAATTTATTATTTAAGCTCAATTTTAAGACTAATTTACCTTTTCTGTCTTTGATATACACAATTTAAGTTTATTGAAATAAAAAAATTTTAATTAAGGATTTGACATGTTTTTGCTAGCTGAATACATATCTAATAATTAGTTATGTCTAATAGTTAATATAAATTTTTACTCTAGTTAACTACGTAACAGTTTTGAAAAACTATGTTTACTGATTAATAATATTTTAACTAATTACTTGAGTTTGGAACCGGATATTGAAACCAAGTTTAACCGATAAATAGTTAGGTAGTTTTTGGATTACTTGACTTGACTATAAAGAGATGGTAAAAGACTTCTGCTGGCGTTAGCAATGTAAACTTGAAAGGATGGTTTGGAATTTTTACTAATTTGGACTTGAAACATCTGATGGTGTGTATTAATTTTTAAATCTCGTACTTTGGAAAAAACTTTACTTCTCATACTTAGTGATTGGAACTGCCTAAACCTTTTCTTAACCATTTAATTTGGCTAGCATTAAAACAATTCCTGCCCATAACCAACATAATTCTGCCTGGAACTACAGAGCAATTTTTAAATGGTTAATCGGTTCCAATCCCTACTCGTACTGTGGGAAAATGAAAAGAAATATTATATTTCATACTATGGGAAACCTCACCAATCGGGATTTGGCTTATCTGTGTAAATGTTATTTTTTACATAATCTCAAAGAAATTTACTTATTATATCTTGTACTATGGAAAAATGGCACTAATCAAGAAGGTACGGTTTAGAAAGGAGTCATGCATGACTCCTTTCTAAACCCAGATTGTGTAAAAAAAAAACATTTATACAAAATAAGCTGAATCCTGATTGGTGAGGTTTTTCCAAAGTACAAGATTTGAAATTTTTTATCAACATGCATGACTTCTTTCTAACCCCGTACCTTCTTGATTGGCACCATTTTCCTGTAGTACGAGATATAATAAGTAAATTTCTTTGATATTATGTAAAAAAAACATTTACACAGATAAACTGCGAGATTTGAAATTTTTATCAACATGCATGACTCCTTTCTAAACCAGATTGTGCAAAAAAAAACATTTACACAAAATAAGCCGAATTCCAATTGGTGATGTTTTTCCAAAGTATGAGATTTGAAATTTTTATCAACATGCATGACTCCTTTCTAAACCAGATTGTGTAAAAAAAAAACATTTACACAAAATAAGCCAAATTCCAATTGGTGAGGTTTTTCCAAAGTGCAAGGTTTAAAATGTTATCAACATGTATAACTCCTTTCTAAACCATTTTCCCGTAGTATGAGATATAATAAGTAAATTTCTAAGATTATATAAAAAAAAAAAAACCATTTACTCAGATAAGCCAAATCCCGATTGGTGAGGTTTTTTCAAAATGCGAGATTTGAAATTTTTATCAACATGCATGACTCCTTTCTAAACCCAGATTGTGTAAAAAAAAACATTTACACAAAATAAGCCGAATCCCGATTGGTAAGGTTTTTCCAAAGTACGAGATTTGAAATTTTTATCAACATGCATGACTCCTTTCTAAACCAGATTGTGTAAAAAAAAATTATTTACACAAAATAAGCTGAATCCTAATTGGTGAGGTTTTTCTAAAATGCGAGGTTTAAAATTTTATCAATATGCATGACTCCTTTCTAAACCATTTTCCTGTAGTACAAGATATAATAAGTAAATTTTTAAGATTATATACATTTACTTAGATAAGCCGAATTCTGATTGGTGAGGTTTTTTCAAAGTGCGAGATTAATGTTATCAACATATATGACTCCTTTTTAAACCCAAACCTTCTTAATTGGCACCATTTTCCCATAGTACGAGATATAATAAGTAAATTTCTTTGAGAATGTGTAAAAAAAACATTTACACAGATAAGCTGAATCCCGATTGGTGTGGTTTTTTTAAAGTATGAGATTTGAAATTTTTATCACATGCATGACTCCTTTCTAAACCCAGATTGTGTAAAAAAAAAACATTTACACAAAATAAGCTGAATCCTGATTGGTGAGGTTTTTCCAAAGTACGAGATTTGAAATTTTTTATCAACATGCATGACTTCTTTCTAACCCTGTACCTTCTTAATTGGTGCCGTTTTTCCATAGTACGAGATATAATAAGTAAATTTCTTTGAGATTATGTAAAAAAAAAACATTTACACAGATAAGCCGAATCCCAATTGGTAAGGTTTTTCCAAAGTGCGAGATTTGAAATTTTTATCAACATGCATGACTCCTTTATAAACCAGATTGTGTAAAAAAAAACATTTACACAAAATAAGCCAAATCCCGATTGGTGAGGTTTTTCCAAAGTACAAGATTCGAAAATTTTTCATCAACATGCATGACTCCTTTCTAAACTAGTAGATTAGTCATGGTAAAAAAATTCTGAGATCATGTGATTAACGATCCTTCCGGACTATCTACGTACCTTCCGATCTTGTGATATAGTACCCTAGCCATGGCAAAAAAATTCTCAAATCACGTGCCATAGATCAATTTTTATAGATTTCTATTGGACGCCATATCCATAACCCTAGATAGTCTAGTTCTTATAAATAAAATTTTTTAAAAATTTGAGCGAAGATATATTCACAACCAACTGACCAAACTCATTGATTTTTTTTTTTTTTTTAATTCTAAAAACCTGTAGAATTCAAATAAATAAAATTCACTGAGTTTTGTCAGTTGGTTGTCGAGATATCTTCACCCAAAAGTTGTAAAAAAATTAAAATTTCAAATACAAGTGCCAAATTTTAAATTT